AAGCTATTGAGAAAACATTTCAACTCAATTAAGTGGCATTCATCAGAGACCTTATAAAACAAATCGTTTGCCACTTTTTCACATCAAAGACTTCTAATTAAGCATTTTTAATGAACACATTCTATTATTTAATATTTTTATTTACAATATAACAGATGGTGTTGTAAATTATGGACCTAATTAAATTTTTTTTATATATTAATACAAACATAATATTGAGGTATACTAAAATACATGGGTTGATCTTCGACTGTATACAAATTCGATAATCGTCGGTGTAAGTGACTCTGTCTCCCCATATCTGCTGCCAAACAGCTCGCATTGTAAGCTATATTTCAGTAGATTTTTTTTATTTATTTATTAGCATACAAAACAGATTACAGTCAATATAATAATATAATTAGGAGCGTGTAGTTCGGTCCACACTGGATTGTAATCCAACACTATGTATGCCTAAGAGCTAAATTATATAGACGCATTCAATATACGCTAGATAAGGTTATATAATGAAAAGTAAATTTTGCGGGTGAATGATACGATGCTGTTGGTCGAGACGATGTATATTACAGATGGTAATAAACTGACAATATGTACAAAGAAATAATGATCTTATATACTAAATAACAATAGGAAAATGTAAGGTGGGGTGACACAGGTTAGACACAGCAGTGCTTAGTAGACAATATTGAATTTGTCTTACTAGGCATTGTTAAATGCAATTATTATTTTGATGTATCTAGATGACTGTATCTTATAGTAAACTAAATAAAAAATAATATATAACTAGTATCATGTTAACAGAATTTTATATATGTGTTGTGAAAACCTTGCGTAAATAAATTCTATATAACATCCGTTTAAAAACCACCTATGATAACTCAATATTAACATTTGCTGCAGGTGCCCAGGTGCATAAAAAGCCTATGTAACGTGAATTCGTGTTAATATTGTAAATAAGTAGGTACTTAGTAAACTGTTGCGTTCTGAATCATAAGTAATATTATATTAAGATGCACTTGTTCATTACCAACTACACATATGTATATAGTTTTATATAAAAGTGTATTTCTTTTTATTTTACAAATGTAAGAATGTTATGTGATGCAAATTTTTGTGATATTAATAATAATAATAATAATAATATATATTAAAGAAAAAAAAATTGGTACAATATTAAATATTATTTGTCTGTTTACGGTGGAAATTTAATTGTCTCCAGAACTGGACAAGTGTTGAATGAAAAATTGCTATATTTCTATTCGAGACAAGAATAACATTGTATTATAAACTACAGGGGCAATATACATTTATACTCTAATATAGCATCACCATATACATATATAAATGATATATTTACATATAATATGTAATATGGTACAACATAACGATTGACGACCTAGGTGGTCTAGCGGTCTAGCATACCGCTTTACGACCGATGGTCGCGGGTTCGATTCCTCGCACGGCACAAACATTTGTATTCATGAGTATGATTGATTGTATCGGTCTGGGTATTTTCTATGTATAATATGTATGTATTTACGAAAAAAAAATTATCTATGTATTTGTATCAGTTGTCTAGGACCCATAACACAAGCTTTAGCTAGCTTAACTTGGGTCTAGATGGCGCAGTGTGAATTGTCCTGAGATTATTATTATTATTTTATATTTCCAAAAAAAATCTCATCTCCCCTCTTAAGGAGAGGAGATGGCAACTTACCCCCGGCAGAAGCACAGTCGGCCGGGGTTCAGGGCCCCAGGGAGAGAAACCGGCGTACAATGCGGGCAGAATCTAAGAGCACCGCTTTCTGCATTTTTCCCGGGAGTAAGCTGCCTCGGAATCCCAACCGTCTGAGATGTTGCTCCAGACGGGTTGGGATAAGATCGTTCACCGATATAACGATTGGAATGATTTCGGTGGACATCACCCCCCACATTTCGGTCACCTAGTGAGCCAGGTCGAGATATTTTCTCTTTTTCTTAGTTTCGGCTTTCACGAGGTTCTCGTCATGCGGTATGGTGATGTCCACCAAAAACACCCTCGAGAGTGCCCGATCCATCACCACGATATCAGGTTATGTTATTATATATATTATATTATTATTATTATGACATGATTTCCTTGATGCTGATATAATTGCGAAAAATATCTTAAATCTACGCTTCTCCGATCGATTCCCAATCTAATTCAAACGGGGGTCGAAATTACGAACGGCCTGAGCCGAAGTTTGAACGCTTGGAGGTGCCCTCAGTCGTATCAGTCAGGTGAGAGTTGGTCTACAATCGCTCTATAGGTCTTCTGCGGGTTTGGAGTGCCATCTGCATTCGCCCCCTATCTTCCGTGAAGCTGTAAAGGTCAACTGCGGCCAAAGGCATTAGAGTAGTCCCAAAAAAATCCTAAATCTTCTTACATCAATTTATTCAGTAATTATTTTATTAGCATCCATTTCAAAGTAGAGATTTTTCACCTTGTGTACACTTTGTTTATATATCAAAACTAGCTTTTGCCCGCGGCTTAGCTCGCGTTAATTTATCCCCTTATGGGTGGAATTTATCAAAATCCTTTCTTAGGGGATGCCTACGTCATAGTAGCTTTATGCATGCAAAGTCTCAGCCCGATGGGTTTAAAATTGACAAAGTTTCATACAAACTTTCATCCCCTATTTTATCCCCTTGGGGGTAGAATTAATCAAAATTCTTTCTTAGCGGATGCCTACGTCATAACATCTACCTGCATGCCAAATTTCAGCCCGATCCGTCCAGTGGTTTGGGCTGTGCGTTGATAGATTACTATGTCAGTCACCTTTGAGTTATATATATTTAGATTGACAGTCAGCTATTTGCTTTTCAAGGCATTGTTTACTGCTCCATACTTTATTTGAATATTTAAAATTAAAGTAATATATCAAGGCAATGTACAAACAAGTTTGCGATCAAACAAAAGCGTACATGTATTTAACCTGGCTGAAACGGGTCGTTTATTAATTCACTAGCTACTCGCCCCGGCTTCGCACGGGTATACATGTATTATATATATAAACCTTCCTCTAGAATCACTTTATCTATTTAAAACAAACCGTTTCAAAATCCGTTGCGTAGTTTTAAAGATTTAAGCATAGGTACGGACAGATAATGACAGCCACTTTGATTTATACTATGTAACTAGCTACTCGCCCCGGCTTTGTACGGGTATAAATGTATTATATATCTAAACCTTCCTCTTGAATCACTCTATCTATTAAAAGAAACTGCTTCAAAATCCGTTGCGTAGTTTTAAAGATTTAAGCATAGGTACGGACAGACAGCGACGGCGACTTTGTTTTATACTATATAATGGTGGTAAATGGTTAGTCGATTCCTCTATACAAATCAGGCCGGCAGCTCATTAATTCACATTTCATCATCCTCTAAAATTCACGATCATTAATTAGACCTTATATAAAATTTCTTTCGTCCATTATCTCAATTAGTGTTATAAAGACGAAAGATTTTACTTTTATACTAAAAAAAAAATACTTACATTCTTACATCTATTGAAGTAGACAGCAAACTTTGAATAAGGGTGACCACAATAGATCTAAATAGGTCGCAGTGTTACAGATAGCACCTGATAATAGCTCAAACCCCCTAATAAAGAAATATTTAAAAAAAATACATAAATAGGATTTGTTGAGTACATTGAAATGGCAAACAATCTGTCGGTCCATCTGTTAACAAGTAGTAACCATCATACATAAATAACTAACGACCGCTTGCGACCTGAGCAGAGAGGGAAACTTTGAGCAGTTCCCGGGACTTGTGCACTATTTTTTATTACTTATGATGGGTCACAACCCAGGTCTAAGTTTATGGGGCTCACTTAATCCTAGACCTGGGTCACAATGCTTTCTTGGTATATGATGGCGTAGCGTCTTTTGTATTGATTGCCGCATGCATCCTCATGTAAAGTGCGAATAATGTAACTACCATATAGTAATTTTAAGTAGCTGTGACGTGGTCGAGTGGAATGAGTAGTCATGCTCACTAAAATGTCCAGACATGTGCGGCGTGGTGGGCCGGGTCATTGGGCTCCCTAAAATATGGTCGAGCGCAGTGATGGCTGGCTCATCCATCATACTCGTAAACGAGTGCTGCTTGTAGGAACTGGTCTGCTGTTATCACTACGACTGATTTAATCTTATTGTATATTTGATTTGATTTATATTTGACCCAAAAAAATTTGTGCTGGTTAGTAGTTTGTATTCACACGTTTCGACTTGTAAATGTAAACTTACAAGGATTATTTAAAAGAGCAACACACAAGTTTCTTGCTCGTTCTTCTTGTGATGAGACAGCTTTCCGAACGAGCGGTAGATAAAAAAATGTAATGACTATTCAAAAGTGCTTAAATTAAGTTTATTTGAATAAATGATTTTCTATTCTATTCTATTCTACAAGTCTCAGGATCTGCTCGGAGTTTTCTTCTCTGCCACATGACAGACCCGGCACTTGTTGTTGTACGTCAATACTTACCTTCACCAATCTTGTTTCTCTCCCTACACAGCCATATCTGGTAGGATCTGATCCTGCTAGTGCAGCTTTAGATACACGGTCTAGTATAGATCTTACTTTAGTTCTAGATATGCCAAGATCATTTACAAGATTGCAGAGAGAGTTTGCTAGTATACCTCTCGCTCCCAATTTGACCATATGTAAATTAACCACATAGCTATATTTAGTCAATTCGTTTGTTATTTTGTAATACTTATTTTTATTACATTTAGGTATAATTGTTTCTGATAGTACAATAAGCTTTGCCAGTAGTATACTAACGAAGTACAAAACGAAGAACGATTTTCTAATACCTAACTTTGCAAGAATTAATTATATTTAAAGATCTACTACAGCTTTGTTACTACCAAGTAACAACTCGCATAATCATCATCCGAATTCTGAACAGTAAATGATGATCTTATATCAATTGTTTCAGATTACAATGTACGCACTCCGTTCAACAACATGGACCAAACACTTGAGCATGGCATGAGACAGACAACAGTAACATGCGACCCGGCCAGCGCTGGTTGGCGACGACTATGCTTCTCATCATCACGCAGCGATCAGAAATGAAACCAGACGTACTTACAGACGACCAAGATTTCTACAAAGAGAACCCAAACATCAGACACCACCATCGTCACAAGCACAAATTCACAAACACACCAAATTTTAATAAAGATAGCGACTTGTACGATCCTATTAGTAACTTCAAACAAGGTCTACAATTAATCGATACGGATTTAGTTTATGATATGATACCTCTGAGAGATGAAAGAGAAAGTGATTGGTTAAATATGTCTAATGATCAAATAGGTGAAATTAAAGATAAGAAACATCCGCATTGGCCTATAAAGAGAGAAGCGGTGATTGAAGGTGATTTGGTACTTGGAGGATTGATGATGGTGCACGAGAGGTCTGATAATATGACGTGTGGTCCAGTGATGCCACAAGGTGGTGTTCAGGCATTAGAAACTATGTTATACACTTTAGATATAATAAACAACGAACTCAAATTACTGCCAGGAGTAACCCTTGGCGCTCATGTACTAGATGACTGTGATAAAGACACTTATGGATTAGAAATGGCGGTGGATTTCATCAAAGGTATGTTGTAGTATTTGCTAAAAGTACTTAAAACTAAAACTATACTTAGCATCAAGTTTATACTCTCAGTATTATCGCAGATAGCAACTATCATTCCAAATTGAGACATTAGAGAAATACTGAGAATACTTTTGTATTTGTACGAGTATGTGCTAAAAGCGAATGCAGTTTTGGCTGCAATTTTATTGGCTCTATTTCACTCGCAGACTTTCATTTGTTACAAACATTTGCAGAGCTGGCAATTTTATGGAACTCCTTTTCTGTGATAAAGAATAATATTGTTGACGATACTTCTTTGCAACTTGGCAAATAAAATACGAGTATGTCGATAATGTAGTGCAAGGCACCTCATTATTGTGCAAGAATCTATGAAGCGCTACATCATTACATTCGTTTATCGAGGTTTTTATTTTTTTGTTAAGTAAATATTAAAATAAAGAGCTGTATCATAATTTTCGTATATCAATTTTATTGATAAGTATTGATGTACAATTACGTGCAGTTATAGGAATGCAATGAGAGTTAAAAATTTAGAGCCAATTTTTATCCAATTAACGCGACTGCACTGCACGGGCTGAATCTTGCAAAAGTTAATACAGCACTTTGTAGCAACATGAAAAAAAGCAAACATTTATAAAACTTTGAATTTATTAATGAAACACGCAATTGTTAAATTTTAATAACGTGCGTGTGATATCTCTTGCATCTAGATCCAGACTGGATTGCTGGCGTCGTTTATGCTAGTTATAGATATATTAAGTTGGTTCATTTTCGCTGTTTCCATCATCAAAGTGTTATCATTACCATTATTATCATTACATACAGTATAAAACAAAGTGGCTGTCGCTGTCTGTCCATCCCTATATATGCTTAAATCACTAAAACTAAGCAACGGATTTTTCTTAACAGATAGAGTGATTCAAGAGGAAGGTTTATATATAATATAATATATGTACACCCGTGCGAAGCCGGGACGAGTAGCTGGTTCAAATACGTAAAATTGGTGTTGTGTGGGACCATAGTGTTTTGGTGTCAAACAGATTTGAACTCATAACCCTTGGATCTATTATTTATACATGACGGCGGATAGCGGCCATCAAGCATAATGCCCATTTGGTGTTAAATGGCAACCTTAGTTTTACATTGTATCTTGAGGAAATCTACCTATTTAATGGTATTAGATGTTTGAAATACTTAAACACATTTGTTTTAAATATATACATAATATAGAAAGCACACAGACCAACAAACAATAATACTCACGAATACAAATATTTGTATCATCGAGGAATCGAACTTGCGACCGGCGTAAGGCGGTGTACCAAACCGCTAGACCACCAAGGTCGTCAAATGTTATTTTGTAAGTGATGTGTCAGCAAATTCTCTACACGTAATAGCTCCAGTTATATGTAAAAAGTATATTTTAGAGGAAATACTTTTTGACTATTTGCCTCTGTTTATTACTCTTACAGAAGATATATTGTCTTTCTTTTTATCCTCAGGTTCTATAAGCAACATCGATGATGCAGAGTACGCTTGCAACGCGACTGCTGTTCGCAAGGTGATATCAGGAGTGGTGGGAGCAGCTTCTAGTGTCACTTCTGTACAAGTTGCCAATTTACTTCGACTCTTCAAGATACCACAGGTAAATCTTGGATACTGTCATTCGGATATATTAATTTAATGAGGGAAGCCTGCTTTAGAGGCTTCACAAAATCGTATACATAATTCCCGGGCACGATAAATCCATACTCGAGGCGCCTCAGCTAAAGCGCAGTGATGGCTGGCTCATCCGTCATACTCGTGAACGGGTGCTGCTTGTAGGGACTGGTCTGCTCTAATCACTACGACTAATTTCCTCTTATTAATAGTTTAACCAGTTGGTTATATATATCCAATATTATTTCTATTTGAGTATTTAATTGAATTAGTGCTAATTGGTGGTTTGTATTCACATTACATTAACTTGAAAATGTAAAGTAATAATAAAAAAGTTTCTTGCTCGTTCTTCTTGTGATGAGACAGCTTTCCGAACGAGCGGTAGATTAAAAAAATGTAATGACTATTCAAAAGTCCTTCAATGTAAGGTTATTTGAATACATGATTTTCTATTCTATTCTTGTAAGTATAATATGACATATATCTTTAAGAAAAATTGAGAAGACTGTTGAAATAAGTAACAACAAACCCTGAAAGTTTCGTTTCAATCGGCTATTTCGATTATTCGATAATTCGATTACTCGATATTTCGATTATTCGATATTTCGATTTCGATTCGATTTTTTGAAGCCTCTAAAGCAGGCTACCCCCTTAATTATTCACCAATTACAGACACATAAAATACATGAGGTACAGAAATAAGACATGAATAAATAAATCAAATCAAATCAAATCCAATCAAAAAAACATTTATCATGTAGGAAGAGAGTTTCTTGCTCATTCTTCTTGTGATGAGACAGCTTTCCGACTGAGCTGTACATTCAAAATATAAGTCTGACTATTCTAAAAGTTCTTAAAGTTTATTTGAATAAAGAATGTTATATTCTATTCTAAAGAGTTTAGAAAAAAATAAATATTGATATTATGTTTATACTATTTTACCACAGTACGGAGTAATTTTTCAAAAATATTTTATGACAACAGAAATACTTTTAATAATTAATTAATTAAAATTAAAGGTTTCCTGTAAAAGTACAATATTCTTGCTACCATAGTACTGTTTAAGAGACCACTTTCCATTCCATTCCAAAATAATCTTACTCTAACAACAGAAATATTTTTAATAATTAATTAATTAATTAAACTTAAAGGTTTCCTATAAAAATACAATATTCCGTTGCTACAATGAGATAACTTCATTAAAAATTAACTCAAACTAATAACGAGATAAACTTTAAATTCGCTAACGTTTCCACAGTATCCACCTACCGATATAATTTAATTAAATTCATTGTTCCCAGTTAGCGTGGAGTCCTAACTAAAGAATATCGGTTTTAATTAACTTTCTATCTACCTACAGATAATTTCATAAAGATTTAAATTAAGATATAATATAATTACAGGATGATATCTAAGCCCTGTGAAATGGCAACACAAAAGAATCACGAGTATCGCATGAAAAAATAAATAGTAACAATAAAACTCTATATTGTGCACAAAAAAAGAACAATATATTGTTAAAACAAAAGGCGGCCTTATCGCTCAAACAATCTCTTACAGACAACAATATCCCCCCCGTCCAATTCAAACGGGGACCGATGTTACGACGGCCTGAGCCGAGGTTCGAAACCCTAGTGGTGCCCTCAGACTAAAGTCGTATCCGTCAGGCGGGAGTTGGTCCGTTCCATAAGTCCTTCCGCGGATTTGGAGTGCCATCTGCACTCGCCTCCTATCGTCCGGTGAAGCTGTAAAGGCCAGCTGCGGCCAACAGCATCAGAGTAGTCCGGAAAAAAAGACAACAATACAAATGCTTGTGGGGACTGGTCTGTTCTGGTTGCGAACACTGATTAGACCATTTGCTTTTGACAAAATTGCAATAGCATATGCTGGTGATCACGCTATTCTTCCAAATTTGAATTTAAAAAAGAATCTGCATTATTATAAGCACGTACAACGTTATTTCAAGGGAATACGAGCTAAGTTTATTGTCAGTTCTTCTCAGCTCTCGAAAGCCCTCCGAACTGACTGTAGATTTGATATATCATAAGAGTCTATAATAGACCTACATTAGCATATGCTAGTGGTCACTCTATTCTTCCAAATTTGAATTTAAAAATGAATCTGCATTATTATAAACACGTAAATCGTTTTTTGAAAAGAATACGAGATAAGTTTCTTGTCAGTTCTTCTCAGCTCTCGAAAGCCCTCCGAACTGACTGTAGATTTGATATATCATAAGAGTCTATAATAGACCTACATTAGTATATGCTAGTGGTCACTCTATTCTTCCAAATTTGAATTTAAAAATGAATCTGCATTATTATAAACACGTAAATCGTTTTTTGAAAAGAATACGAGCTAAGTTTCTTGTCAGTTCTTCTCAGCTCGAGAGCTTTCCGAACTGACTGTAGATTTGATATATCATAAGAGTCTATAATAGACCTACATTAGCATATGCTAGTGGTCACTCTATTCTTCCAAATTTGAATTTAAAAATGAATCTGCATTATTATAAACACGTAAATCGTTTTTTGAAAAGAATACGAGCTAATAGTTTCTTGTCAGTTCTTCTCAGCTCGAGAGCTTTCCGAACTGACTGTAGATTTGATATATCATAAGAGTCTATAATAGACCTACATTAGTATATGCTAGTGGTCACTCTATTCTTCCAAATTTGAATTTAAAAATGAATCTGCATTATTATAAACACGTAAATCTTATATATTTTTGAAAAGAATACGACCTAAGATAGAAATAATCTTATAAAATGTTCTTCTCAGCTCGAGAGCTTTCCGAACTGACTGTAGATTTGATATATCATAAGAGTCTATAATAGACCTACATTAGCATATGCTAGTGGTCACTCTATTCTTCCAAATTTGAATTTAAAAATGAATCTGCATTATTATAAACAGGTACAGATGTAGATTTGACATATCATAAGAGGCTGTAATAGACCTACATGAATAAAAATATTTTGATTTGATCGAAATAATAGATAATCTATAATCTATATTTATCTATACACAGGTGTCATTCTTCTCGACGTCCCCCGAGCTCTCTAACAAGGCTCAATTCGATTGGAATTTCTCTGCGTGATGTATCACCAGAACAATCCCATCTGATCTTCATCAACTGAAAGCGATGGTGGAAATTGTTAAGCGACTAGGGTGGAGTTACGTGTCCATTATTTACGAAGAGTCCAGTTATGGGATTAAGGTATGACATTCATAGCTCTATATATATTCAATCTTCATATTCAAGTCTGTTGTTAATTATATAATAATAACACCGGACAATTATCACAGCGCCATCTAGTCTCAAGCTAATCAGAGCTTTTGTTATGGGCACTACAACTGATGGAAATACTTATATATATTACAATAAATAGATAAATAATATACATAGAAAATACCTAAACCGATACAAATAATACTCAAGAGTATAAAATGTTTGTACTGTGGGAGGAATCGAACCCGCGACCGCGAAGTAAAGCAGAGTATGTATCCCAAACAACACTTAACATTATACTTGGAATATAATACGGTCATAATATATACACGACATTCACCCAACGTTCATTCATATTACATGATACTCAGCTAATTTTGCATGTAAGTGAAATCCTGAAACGGCGTACCGTATGCATTCTAAATGTAACTAGTTATCTAAATTCCGCATAGTAATATCCTTAATTAAGGGTGCATGCCTCCAATATAACAATTTTTAAATAATTAAACTCGATTAATTCTGTGTTTCTACAATAACTAATTAAACTCGATTAAATTTTGTCGCTAACTATGGGCCTCATGAATAAGCTCAGAGTCACAGTAATAATAATAATAATAATAATCCCAGGACAATTCACACAGCGCCATCTAGACCCAAGTTAAGCTAGCTAAAGCTTGTGTTATGGGTCCTAGACAACTGATACAAATACATAGATATTTTTTTTTCGTAAATACATACATATTATACTTAGAAAATACCCAGACCGATACAAACAATCATACTCATGAATACAAATAGACAATAGAAGGGGTTATGATTGGAATTTCTCTGCGTGATTGTATCAGAAACGAGGAGATCCATAGAGGAACCAGAATGACCGACATAACCTGAAGAATTGCGAAACTGAATAAACTGAACTGAACTGAACATAGCTCGTGGGACAGCTGGCCGTTGTAAGGTCCTCGAGTGGCGACCGCGGACCGGAAGACGTAGAGTGGGAACTCTACAGTTCCCACTCTACGTCTTCCGGTCCGCGGCAAGGCCTCCAGCAATACCAGATAGACCGACGATCTTGTCAAGATCGCTGGAAGTCGTTTGATGCGAGCAGCGCAGTACCGATTATTGTGGAGATCTTTGGGGGAGGCCTATGTTCAGCAGAGGACGTCTTCCGTGCTGAAATGATGAATGATGATGAAATTTTATTTTTTATTTACACGTCACTGAAAAACTCGGATGAAATTTTGCCAATCGGACAAAGTAATCGTTTCATAGTAGTCAGATTTTCTTTAAATCAGTTTGTGTTAGAATCATATATAACGAAAAAACTCGTTTACCACTAAAAAAACCTATGTATAAATCACTCGTATGTACAATCTAATACAGTACAATAATTGAAAAAAAAAAGTGCAAGATAGAAAAGTGAATTATAATGAATTTCTAGAATAACGAAAAACAATACCATTATATTGACTTTAATAAATATAATAAGCCGAGTAGAACCGCGTATAAATATTTATGACAAAATTTCGATTGAAAGTATCGCTATCGCAATTGGTTGAAGGGAGACAGAAGGTGTAAAGAGATAGATTCTATCTCTATTCAACTTCATCGAAAATTATATTGCGTGGGACACAGTCCTCTTAAGCACTAAAAATAGAACCAGTTTTAACATAGAATAATATCTTGTAATAACTAAAATGGAATCTCCATAAAAGTGCCTTGACATCTATCCGTTACTTTATTGTATTACTAGCTGTGCTCGTAGCTTCACCCGCACAATTATAGGCTACAAGCTTAGTCATATAAATTAAAATCGCTATTATAAAATTGGGGTTTAAATTTTATTAAATATTCGTGGCGTAATGTACCTTCATGTTCTCTCACCATAATAGTTGCATACCACCAGTTCAATATACTTATTTATAGTTGTTTGTCTCATGCTATACTCAGTTGTTTTTTTAACCTTATACTTATCGCATTGATATTGTTCTAATGGCAATAATAAAGTAACTTTTTCATGTATAGAATATTACATTTCGTGAATAACAAATTTTAGTTTCCTTTACATTTCTTTTTAAATTCCGTATCTACTAAGTGTTTCAAAAAACGTATTTGTATGTTAAACAATTTATCAAGATAGGTACGAAAGGTACAATCATACACCGCCAGACCATAACTTAATCTGCCAATGCCCAATACAATGAAAACAGTATCGACCTACTAACTACATTTTTAAGCTGGATGAACTTACACAAAACAGATCTTAATTTATATGTATTTTCCAGTTAAAACTACAGTCTATTGTCTATTGTTAACAAATATATCAGTGAATAATTATTAATTTTAAATAAATAATTTGGTGGAGCTTAATTTTTGTGTTTTTTTTTATATATAACACAGGGGACAAAAGAACATGCGGCTCACCTGATGGTAAGTGATTACCGCCGCTCATGAGCACCCGCAACAACAGGAAAATTGCAACTACGTTGTCGGCCTGTTAAAAAGGAATAAGCTCTTATCTTGAAGGTTTCAATATCGTATCGGTTCGGAAATACCATTGCTGGAAGGTGATTCCACAATGTGGTTGTGCAAGGCAAAAAGAAATGTGCTATATGTATGATTACCCACGACGAATGATTATTACTGTTAGCCCACAAATGCTGGGCAAATACTAGTAGTACACAAAATAAGTGGTAGAATGATTCTTACTGTTTCCCGATCACCAGGGAATAGTATAAAAAAATTTAATTAGCTGAAAGTGCGTGCCAGAAAACTCCTGATGCAGATTTCAATCTTCATGAATATTTAAACTATTCCGTCTGATGGGTAGCAATTTCAATCAATTTTTAATCCTATTCCATATGTATAAGGTTCCAATTACATTAGACTTGATTTTAAATTATTATCAATGAAATTGATAACGTAAATGATATTGGAGTTAATGCATAATTTTGTTATTGAGACCTCAATGGTTTAGCGGTTTGCTGACTGTCTTACTTTCAATCGATCGCAGGTTCGATACCCATACAATACAGACATTTACAATTATGGGATCTCAATGGTTGTTCACTCTTTGTCATGCTTTCAATTGATTGCAGGTTCGAAGTTCATACAATACTTTTGTATTTAGTCAATTTTAACCATTATTTACAAAATTATATAAACTAAATTCGCTGATTCTATTACAATACAAATATTTGTATTTATATATTAATATCTATGTATTATTTATATAAACTAAAGAACTCGGCTTCGGTGGTCTAGCGGTTTAGAACACTTTAGTTTCACTTGTTTCGGGTTCGATTCTCCTCGCTGCATGAGTATGACTGTTTGTGTAAGGTACATATAATAACAATAATAATAATAATATCTAGAATTATTATACGCCATCTAGTGGGACTAGATGGCGTTGCTAAGCTAAGCTAAGCAGAGCTTGTGTTGTGGGTACTAGACAACTGATATAAATACATGATATTATACATAGAAAACATCCAAACAGATATAAACAATCACACTCATGACTACAAATCTTTGTGCCGTGCGAGGAATCGAACCCACGACCATCGGTCGTAAAGCAGTGTGCTAAACCACTACACCACCGAGGGTGTGAATAACAATAAAAGAATAGAGTAGATTCTGTCAATCATTCTGTTCGTACAATAAATGTCTATTTCACTACTTGATTTATATTATTTAGTTTAATTTCACTACAATCAGCATGTGTGAGACCACAAATATTCGGTGTGGAAACTTGACTACCGTTACCACCTTCTGTAATGGCGATCAAATTCCGACCGTCATTGAGTCTACACCCATATCGCGACACGTGTTTCGCCTCTGAACGAAGCATCATCAGGCGTTGAATAGAGTTTGGATACAGCTCGGAAGCCTAGTTTTGAGTCATCAGCGACCAAACCACGACCATCGATGCGTAAACAAACTAATATACATAAATCCATCAAGCAGTGAAATCGACTTCCGCAAAATAACACCTACTTCGATTAAAAATATTCTTGTAAATGCTCGCGTTTCTTTGCTTAATTAAGCACATATATTACAAACTGTTTATGTGTACATTTACAAAAAAAATTGTTTAATATTTGTACAGTACAGTCTTTGTTGTCTCCATAACACGCGATTTAGCTTGGGACTAGATGGTGCTGTGTTAATTGTCCAGGTTTATTATTACATATACTAGCCGTTTGAAATTTATAGCCTATATTTTATTCTTATATATATGCTATATACCTGTATAGTTTCATCAAAATCTGTTCAGTAGTTTTTGCGTGAAAGAGTAAAAAACATCCATCCATATTCTCAAACTTGAAGATCTCGGTGGTCTAGCGATCTAGCATATGTATTTACTTCCGATGGTCGCGGGTTCGATTCCTCGCACGGCATATACATTTGTATTCATGAGTATGATTGATCGGTCTGGGTGTTTTCTATGTATAATATGTATGTATTTACGAAAAATAAAGAATATCTATGTACTTGTATCAGTTATCTAGTACCCGTAACACAATCTTTAGATAGCTTAACTTGGGATTAGATGGCGCTGTGTGAATTGTCCTGAGATTATTATTATTATTTATTTGTATATTCTCAAACGTTCGGGTTTATAATAATTCTAGCTACCCAGGCTTTGCACTTGAATCACTCTATCTATTAAAAAAACCACTTCAAAAGCCGTTGCGTAGTTTTATAGATTTAAGCATACATAAGGACAGACAGCGACAGCGACTTTGTTTTATACTATGTAATAATGATCAATATTCACTGTGACTTTAATAAAATTAAAATATTTTATTTAGGCTTTCGAAGAGTTGGAAGCACTGCTGGCGAGGAATGGTATCTGCATAGCGGTGAAGGAGAAGCTGGTGAAGGACTCCGGTGTGGCTGAAGAGAATTCCTACGACAACATCATCAAGAAGTTGCTTATGAAGCCAAGAGCTAGAGGTATGTATTATTTATATAGTTAACAAAGTCTTCAAATAAATATTTTTATGATAAACTAAAAATAAATAAATACAGTAACTACAAAGAAATACGGAAACATAATAATAATTTTGTGTATGAGTACGCTACATCATCAACAAAAGTTATTTCCAAATGTACACACAAACGAAATAACCTACAAAAAACACATAAACTATATCCGTCTGGTCTGCTGCGTGCTGCTAAACACTACACCATATTTTCATGCAGGTAAATCCGCAGGCAGTAGTGTATCCTAAATTCAAAAGACTATCAGCCTGTATATTGTTACCTTCACCATCATTTTCTATCACTACTGAATTTCATTATAACGGTGACACGTTACAATGAAATTCAGTATGAATGAAATTTTAGTCTAGCTAGTCTATAAATATAACAACTTCTGCGGGATCGAAATTACAACGGCCTGAGCCGAGGTTCGAAACCCTAGCGGTACCTTCAGAATAAAGTCGTATCCGTCAGGCGGGAGCTGGCCTTCAGCCGCTACTTAAGTCCTTCCCCCCTTTCCTTGCCCCCTATCGTCCGGTGAAGCTGTAAAGGCCAGCTGCGGCCGACAGCATTAGAGTAGTCCGAAAAAAAAGATCAATAAAGAGCGGTGAAGTAAAGTGGTGAAGAAAAACTCTGTTTTGAAGCTTTTTTTATATATATATATAAAGAAGAAAAGAATTACGTGTTGTAACGTATATATATATATATATAAACAGAGTGGTGAAGCTATAAAGGCCAGGCACAGCCAACAGCATTAGAGTAATCCGAAAAAAGATAAATAAAGAAGAAGAAAAGAATTACGTGTTGTAACGTATTGGTAGACTTACTCTGTTTTAAAGTGCAACTTCAAAACAGAGTGGTGAAGCTGTAAAGGCCAGGCACAGCCAACAGCATTAGAGTAATCCGAAAAAAGATAAATAAAGAAGAAGAAAAGAATTACGTGTTGTAACGTATTGGTAGACTTACTCTGTTTTAAAGTGCAACTTCAAAACAGAGTGGTGAAGCTGTAAAGCCCAGCTACGGCCGACAACATTAGAGTAGTCCGAAAAAAAAGGTCAATAAAGAAGAAGAAAAGAATTACGTGTTGTAACGTCCTTTAACGTGTCGGTAGACTTGCTCTGTTTTGAAGTACCTATACAACTTCAGAACAGAGTGGTGAAGCTGTAAAGGCCAGCTACGGCCGACAACATTAGAGTAATCCGAAAAAAAGATCAATAAAGAAGAAGACAAGAATGACGTGTTGTCTCGTTTCCTTTAACGTGTCGGTAGACTTGCTCTGTTTTGAAGTACCTATACAACTTCAGAACAGAGTGGTGAAGCTGTAAAGGCCAGCTACGGCCGACAACATTAGAGTAGTCCGAAAAAAAAGGTCAATAAAGAAGAAGACAAGAGTGACGTGTTGTCTCGTTTCCTTTAACGTATCTGTAGACTTACACTGTTTTGAAGTACAACTTCAAAACAGAGTGGTGAAGCTGTAAAGCCCAGCTACGGCCGACAACATTAGAGTAGTCCGAAAAAAAAGATCAATAAAGAAGAAGACAAGAATGACGTGTTGTCTCGTTTTCTTTAACGTATCGGTAGACTTACTCTGTTTTGAAGTTGTAAAATAAAAGTAATTTTCCTTCGGTACGCTAAAAGCATAAGCTTATTAGGAAAAGAAACTTTGGCCACTTATTTCAGCTACAAGTATCAGGCATATCTGGGCGTGTAATTTGCTTTGAAAGACAGCTATTGCTAATCTTGCGGAGAGTGCTCTCGTAAAAAATACTTTTTAGGGTTCTAAACCGAATAGGGAACTTGGAACCTTAATGCTTCGTTTTTAAGTTTAATTATTCGATTTTAATTTATGATAATTAAGAAAGTTATTTAGAATATTGTTAAACTTAATGATAATATATTTTTTTATAGTTATTTTTTGGTACTTAACGAATTGGCAAATTTTTAAGAGTAATATCCTAGTACCTCGCTTCTTTTTTCTATTAAAACTGGATTGTAAATATGATAGAATGAGAGAAAATTATTAGTCGGTATAGTGTACAAGCAGTAACAAAACGCAATACCTAAGGAGCGATGTAATTGGAGCGCACAACCATTCATTAAAATCTCTCGATATAACGTTCAGACTTTCAAAATCGAATCGATCGAGGTAACGTACATTTTGTTCACTACACAAAATTTGTAATTTATTATACGTTTACCAGCTATATTCAAGGTAGCAAACAAAATCTATAATTTCTACAACCCTACTGCTGAAGCCATCATCAAGTAACATCTGTTCAATCGTGCCGCGTCAGCACGTATCAGTTGCTCCTAACCCATAATTTTCCCTCATCCGTGATTGATCCGTATTTTATTTATGTAGAATATACAATAATAATAATTTCTTTTGCAATAATTCAGAATTACTATATATTTTATTGTAATAGATTTTTTGTGCAGTATTTATTTTTATTCTCATTTCTTTCATATATAATTTATGAGCTACGCTCTTGTTGATGAAGCTCTGGCAACTTACCACGATCTTTAATCATCGTCTTTAAATGTTGATCATAATCATTATTAATTTCAGAAAAATACTTTTAAAATTCTAAATAAATTCAGTTAAGCTAGTTGTACTGAATAAATCTGTGTACTGAACTGGGCGGAAGGGAAAAAATATTACAAAAAACTTTCCGTTACGACTTTCATAAGCGACTAAAATGTCTTACATGAATAAATTATTTTTATTTGATTTATTTAAAGTAATATTATATATTATCATGATTATTTAAGGTGTATATATATGCCTTAAATAATCATATATATATATATATATATATTACACAGTATTCTTCTTCTTTCTGTCATTAAATACGTCGGTAATTTATAATTACATCATTATTCTATTGTAATAATTTTAATGACAAATCATTACCTCCGTAATACTGATAATACCATATTACCCTTTCAGCCAATCAATAAATACAACTGATCGTATTATAATCACTGATCGGAATGTATCCATCGTTATATATTAATAATTGATTGTGGGGTGTAAAGATTTAATTTCTAAAGTGGGCGGCAGGTAAAAAAAATATTACAAAAAACCTTCACGTTGCGACATTCATAAGCGGTTAAAATGTCCTACATGAATAAATTATCTTTGATTTAATTAAAGTAGTACATTAGCTAGGTTATTTAAATAATTTTACACGGAATTGTCTTCTTCTTCTTCCTTCTGTCATTAAATACGTCGGTAATTTATAATTACATCATTATTCTGTTGTAATAATTTTAATGATAAATCATTACCTCCGTAATACTGATAATACCATATTACCCTTTCAGCCAATCAATAAATACAACTGATCGTATTATAATCACCGATCGGAATGTATCCATCGTTAAATATTAATGATTGATTGTGGGGTGTAGAGATTCAATTTCTGTAGCCAGTTTACCGAGAAATTGTCTCTGGGTAGCAGCTGCTATCTGCTTTGTACAACCGTGAACAGACGTTATTTATCTGACGCTTTGCCACTGTGGTGAGGGTCGATACGGCAACGTTACTTTATACCCCCAATTTTCTTTTACGCGGGATTAGATGAGCTACGCCGTTTTGTTTCGCCCGGATTATATAGATGACTTGTTGCTATTTTATTTGGATTAGTGTCTATTGAGAGCGTCGCTGCCTGGTAGTTTACCATCTTGACTTTGACTGTAAATAGAGTCAGTTCGATTCTGGTAAAGATATTATAAAATAATTTCAACATTTTTCTCCAATTATGGGACTACGAATTATAATTCAGGATGGTGATACTATCTCGATTTTGACTACAAATGTCATCAGTTCGAATCTATGAGATATTGTAAAATATTTTTTTAAAGTTTTACTCGTATTGTTAAGAAATATAATTTGTTAGGTGTCAATAAAGAAATAACATTAAATCTTTTAGTCTACAAAGTAGTATAGCATCTCATATACAGTCTCAATTTCATTTCTTTCCTCGTACATCATCGTATTTTGACTGATATCAGTGAGTCAGCATCTCGCACAAACTTGAATACATGAGAATTGTTATATTTTCTTGAAAAATAACATTAAAAATATGAATTCGTACACATGACAGATCATTTCTTTTACTGTAATTGCAGTCAAACATATTGGTAAATTGTTACCGCAGCTTAGGAACAAAACACCAGTACTGTTACCCTGTGTGTGGACCCTTAAGAAATCTTAATCCTAATCCTTATAAAAATGTAGAGCCATATGCTATAAAGATCTGACCAAGTCATCTCTTGACCACGGTTAGTGCGAACTATTCGAAACGTCGACAGAGGTAAAAATATGTACTAATTTTTTGCTATAAAATTAGTCGTATTAACAACCAGTTAATAAAATAGATAATGTATATTGAACACGAAATTTTATAAATAACATATACTATTATCTCTAAGGAAAATCTAAGCAAGTATATTCGTTTTTTTTTATTAATTTTATTTGTCTCTCTGTTCTCTTTATTTTTTTTATTATAAATAAATTATCTAGTACCTCAGCCGCGATTTGATACGGCCAAAGTTTTAATTGCTTAATGTGTTCCTCTGGAGGGATGCTAAGTTACGAAATTTTTTGGCCTTTTATAATAATAATAATAATCTCAGGACAATTCACACAGCGCCATCTAGACCCAAGTTAAACTACCTAAAGCTTGTGTTACGGGTACAAGATAATTGATACAAGTACATAGATATTTTTTTTTCGTAAATACATATATATTACACATAGAAAACACCCAGATCGATACAAACAATCATACTCATGAATGCAAATGTTTGTGCCGTGCGAGGAATCGAACCCGCGACCATCGGTCGTAAAGCAGTGATCTAGACCGCTAGACCACCGAGGTCGTCATATAATAAGTCTCTTATTTGCTACGTGTTCACGTTCTTTTCTGTTTCTTGTCAAAGAGTACCGTTTTCTTCGGTTTAATAAC